AGTCCTTAAATGATGGGGCTCATCAGCCTACTCAGGGTGAGGATGCTCAGCCCTGGGCTGGTATCAAGTCCTATTGCCTGGAGTATCTGTAAGACTGTTTCCAGCATTGTGAAAGTGAGAAATTTCTCCCCATGGAGAAGCCCAAACACAACCTCATTTCATCCTTGCAATACCAGGACTTGCGATGGTGCAAAATACAGAGAGGCAGCTGAGCTGCCTGTGCACGCACCTCTTTGTTGCTTCATGTAGAAAGAATATCTGATAAAAGATGCAAGCAGGAGAATTTAACCAGCTTTCTTCAGGAAATATTTATGCTGCTCCTAAGGAGTTACTGTTTTTCAAATTTAAATCTCTCATTCTGTTTCATTTGTCTTTGCAAAATTCCCAGACCAAGGGAAGCTCTCTACAGATTAGTACACCACTAAATTTTCAGTATTTCATGTTTGGAATATAAGAGGGAGAAAAATCTCTCTGAAACCTAAATATTTTCCTCCTCTAAAGACCAGACCCATTTTGGGGGAAAAATATGCAAAAGTGTTCTCCTTGGGCTGAATGTTGTATGCAGTTTCAGCTTAATGCACAGCTATATAGCAGATGTAGAAAATAATCAAAATAGGGGGGATTTCTGGGAATACTGGCAGATCTTTACTGTGACTGCAGAGCAGATCCTGACAGACTATAATACTGTTTTTGTCTTAATCGTCAAAAGTAAGCTATAGAGAACAAAAATTCTTTGTTTGACAGAAAAGCAATTGCTATTTCTTGTAAAACATATAATATATTCCAGAAGACCTAAGGGTTTACTTTCCAATAAGGATAGAAAAAGATGTGCGCCCCACTGTGAGCTCACAGTAAGGCTGTTTCATGTAAAAAGTTGGTAATTAGTCCCTGAGTGAATAAAGTAGAAGAGATAAGAGACTGATACTTACTGTAGCAACACAAAACACTTTTTCTAGCTGCTAGGATTTAAAGGGTGTGTGGGTGGGAGGGGGGGACCTATTCCTACTCATTTAATTTACAAGCATCTAAACCTCAGAAAATCATTTCTTGCATTAAGCTTAAACATGTGTACTTTAAATTGTTACTAACTGATGTAAAGATTGATAAGAGACATTCCAATTCTAAAAAGCAGACAGGAATGAAGAATTATATGAAAGTGTAAAAGACTGTTGTGCCGTGCATATCAGTAGCAGATTTCATGCTCATTGTAGACCACTGCCTTCAGCAGACTTACACCAGCATTGCTTGATATTTCATCAAGTTAACTCTTTAGCATTCAAAGGATCTTTATCAAAAGCAAATACTTGGAAAACAAAATCACATACCTTTAGCCAGGGTTACATAATAAACACTGAGAATAAAAACAAACCCAAACCACAAGAAACCCATCTACTTACAAACCAAAGTTACTATTTAATAACATTTCTATCACTATCAGCTAAATACTAAGTACCAGAAGTGAGAACTGTATAGCATTTCGTTTTTTACCTGCAGAACTTGGAGCTACTGGAAATAACTTAATATTCATACGTTTTCCTTTGCTGTTATTCATCTTTATTAGAGCTAGAGTTTGTGAGTCTCTCCTAAACATAACTACGTAGTTTATATTGCAATATGTGTTCGTCAGACCTCTTTTTTAGCAATATACAAAATGTCATATGAGAGCTTGAGACATGACAACGGAGCTTTGCACAATGCTCTCAGCACATAGCCCTTGACTTCTCGCTCCTCTGTTCAGTTTGTCTCGTTTGCTTTACTGCAGCATTTGTGGTTAATGTACATGAGACGAGAGCACTTATCAAAAATAATATCAAAAATCTTGGTTACTTCATGAAGACTCACTCCAAAATACATAGTTGGTCATCAGGTTGCCTCTACATCCCCACTATTATGATTACAGTCCTGAAGAGATGATCATACAGATGAATTGCGTACTGATGTCCTAAACTGTAATCATTTGGACTATGAGTATCTGATTCAGCATAGAAAGAGTCAGGAAAACTCTACATATTTTCACTGGTTAACTAGTAACTTGTTGTTTATAAGCTCTGAGCCTCACCACAAGTATCAAGAATTTGTATAAAGGAAATACATTAAAAATATTTCCTCAGGCTGGATGTGGTATAGAAGCCCCAGAACTACTTTTTATCTACTGTTAGTGTTAATTGGACTTGTTTCTACATCTGACTTCAGTGCTTATGTTGCCACATATGAGTATTTAAAGAACTCTCCACTGAGATGAGAAAAAAAACCACACCACAGACCTTCTTGCTTCGTAGTTCTGCAACTTCCATGCAATTCAGGCAGGCCACATAGCCGAGGAGTGTACAGGAACACCTACACAACGCACAGGTACACCTACTGCCACAAGCCACCAGTCCTGTATATGGGGGTAACAGAGACAAAACATTATGCCTCCTTTTGACTTAGTGTGACATCAACACAGCTGAAGAGAGAACACATCTGTATAAAGCATACATTGAATTCATCACTTTTACAAGAAAATACAGAAAATTTGCAATTCTCAGATTTTGTTTCTTCTTGATCTTTGTAAGAATTGATTTTGTGATGTTGCCAATAAATATATATTCCATGCAGTAACATTTAGACAGAGCAAAAACGAGACTTAACCTCATTTTCCAAGAAGTCAGCACAATTTAATCTCACAGTATGATTCAAAACAGACAGACAGCAACAGAAAGATGCCCTTTGAATTTAAAAGGGGTCGAATCAGCTAACAGTTTCTAAAACTTCGTGATGTAGAGTTATTTTTAACAGGGGAAAAAAGTTCAAAATACTGATTCTGAAATCATTATACACTTTATCTTGCTGTTTAACACAGTTTAATCTCCAGCATAGTCCCTGTTTTCTGTGGGAATTTCTTATGTTCTAACAATTCATTCATGATTGGATTTTGCATGTGAAAGCAACCTATTTAAAATAATTGTGATAGTTGATACTGTTCCTTTCTTAACTTTATAAAAATATGCTTAGAACACCCAATTTTCAAACCAGGTTACACTCGCTACAAAATACCTTGGGAGTTTTATGTAGCTATGTAAAATAATAAACAGCTATATTTTGTGTGAGAAAACGTCCAGTGTAATACATGAAAACATGATTATCCAAAGATCTCCAGAGACACTGGCAAAAAGACTTTGGATAAATGAGTTTGAATAGCTAAGGGACCAGGCACAGAGGCTTTGAAGTTTCCAGTTCTCCTCACTCTGGATAATGCAAAGTTCAGATGATTCTTGTTGGACAGCCGTCATAATTTAAGCATTGCTAGCGAGTTCCTTAAGCCAGCTAGCAAAACTCAGACAGAGGTTGTGTCCCCGCTTCCCAAACAAGCGTCACAAACCTGGGAGCCACTTGCTTCATTTCCACAGTGAAACTGGGACAGGAAAGAGGCAGGCAGTAACGACCACAGCAGGAAACACTCACCCCGGCTCATACAAGAGTGAACGTGGAGCGCAGCCGGCAGCCAGCACGCTCCGCAGAGGCTCCTGCTCAAAGCCTGTAACTCAGGCCCGGGAGGCTGTGCGTGCTACCCTGGGCTGCCACTGGGATCCTTGGCATCCTTCCTCTCCTCTTGTCCTGAAGAAAATGTTTGCCGCCTCCAACCATTTCCCTCGTGGAACCAATATTTGCTCTATTTAAAGCACTTCTAGGAAAAGGTGCAGTGAGACCCAATTTACCCAGCCTCTCAGGCTGCTGATGGATTGGGGGACCAACATGTGTTCCTGTTTTGCAAAGGAAAACACTCATTTCCCCTCCAATCAAAAGCTGGCATTTACAATGAACCAAATTCTGCCAAATTCCCCATCTCCTGTGCTCCAAGAACACCCACAGAAGAGCAGACGTGTCTTTATTCAAAGTGAATTAGCAGCATAGTTACGCTCAGTATCACCATGCTTTAGCATTACAAGAAACTGTGTTACAGTATTCTACTGATGGTATAAATGATCAAACACCAACCAAAACAAGTTCTCCCAGCAAGAGCACTTTGATCACTTCACTCTTTCTGCATTATAGCAGCACTCTAATTTGCAAGCTTTAGAATAACTTCTGCATTCTCCAGACATGTCAAAAGATGATGCCATCAGAGTAATTTTTACATGGGGAAGCAAATAATGAGGAGTTAATATACTGGCATTTATCTCTGGCCAGCATTTCCAGAGCTTGAACTTGCTGTATAGTAACAGAAGATAATCAGAGGCAGAGTGAACAAACTGTACCTGCCTTACTGATGTAAATGCCCCTGTTGTCCAATACCAAAAAAAAAAATCAGCGTTGAATTTCAGAAACCATATTCGGGTTAAAGGGCACCGTTCTTATCTGGTATTCCACCCAAAGGACAATGATTTCATTTTATAAAGATCATTAGTCAGTGAAATATATATTTGAGAGAGTTTCTAGTAGGGAAGATTATTTTGGCAGTCACTGGAGTGTACCAGATGGTTCATTAACATAGGCTAGACAAGTCAAAGGCTTTCAGAATCATTTAGAAAATGTCAAACAGAAACAAGAACCCTGTCACTTTTTATTAGAATTAACTACATCATACCCTGGACACAGATTTCACCTTGGGTCAGAAAAATTAATACAGAATTATATGAATTGTATAACATACTAGGTTAAAGATAGGGCTTCCTCTTGGGACTCATTTGCTAGCAATATATTATGGTCTTCTACTTTAGGAATCCTCAACCTTTCTTTTTGTAAGCTATGAAAAGAGCTGACCTTGCTTAGACTCCATTGGTGTCTAATTGATTTGAGGTATATGCAGAATTTCAACAAGACACTCCGCTAAAGCTCTTTTGTGATCATTTTCCCAGGAAAGTTGGCAAAAGGGTTCACTGAATATTCAGCAGCTTGTAAAGTATGCTTTTGTCAGGAGGCAAAAAAACCCACATCCATTTAGTGAAACACTGCTGTCGTAAACAGGAATTAAAATGCAACTGAATTGTTGTTACCTTTTTTTTTTAATTATCATTCAGATGTCAAAAATCTTGAGAACTTCCAGCTTGTGGAAGGTGTTCAGGAACAAGTGAACGCTGCTCTGCTGGACTACACAATGTGTAATTACCCACAGCAAACAGACAAATTTGGGCAGCTTCTCCTGCGACTACCAGAAATCCGGGCCATCAGTATGCAGGCCGAAGAATACCTCTATTACAAACACCTGAACGGGGATGTGCCATGTAATAACCTTCTCATTGAAATGCTGCATGCAAAGAGAGCATAAATTGTACCCATTAGAGCTTCTGCTTTCAAGGAAAAAAAAAATATTCTGAACTGCTCCAAGCAACACTAATTAAAATGTGGTTTTAAGACTTTGCAAAATGGTATAATAATCAAATACTAATAGTAAATAAGTGATGTATCAGGGTATTTGTATTGCAAACTGTGAATCATATGCTACACATCCCCAAAGGAATCTGTATAGGACTTTATACTGGAGTGAAGTGAATTTACTAAGTGGATACTATCACCAATGTCAACATGAAAAAGGACAGAATGACTCTTGTATATTTAACTCCGCTGATTGCCAATATGAAGAAACTTGGGAGAAAAAAAAAAAAGATCCGTATTATCAAGTTAAGATAGTGGGGGATTTGAGCGCACTAAATTCCTTCACTGTATAGCAGGACTTCTAAAAACAGTTATAATAGATGTAAAACTATAGCATCTTCTGTCATCCTTCCAAGGACCCAACACTTCCTACTTCTGTGATAAATGATGTGGCATCCATTCAACAATCTGTAAGAGAGAGCTGGCGTGAGCCACGTCCTATGTAGTAACGCCACCAAATCCTAAGAAGCTGGTTTTGACTGTCGGTCTCTCAGGCCTGCAAATCGCTAATATGAAGAGTCTGTTATCCAGTTAGCTTGGCATTCTTACTATGTTCTGAGGTTTATTTTGTCACGTGTTCATGTTGTTCTATCAGGCAGTATCCCTCTTCTACTACTGTTATCGCATAGCTATTAAATAGCAAAGATAAATATTCCAAAACAAATTAGCCAATTCAACTATATACTTAATGAGGGCAGTGGCTAAAATATAGTTCTGCTATATATTCATGGCCATTTCCAAATAAAGACAATGGAGATATTTTAGCCACTACAAACAATAACTTCTTTGACAAAAGAAAAAAAAAATATTTTTAGGACACCAAATACTGATGTTGAAAAACTAAAAAAAAATAATTTAAAAAATGCATTTAGTGATGCAAGAATAGACAAATAAATTGTATGACTTGATGATGCCATGGAGCTTGTTAAGAAATTAAAATTACCAGTAATTAAGAAACTAAATTCCAACTCAAACATCTAATGAAATATCTACTGAAACTCTTTCTTTTTAAAGTTAGGTAATACACGTCTTTTATGCAAGGAAAGAAGAGTGATACTGCTATGTCTATGTAGGCCAAAGTCTGCTGCAGAACAAATATTAGAGAAGAACAAACAATTCTCTCTCTGTCCAAATGAAGATATCAGTATTAACATGTAGTGCCACAGTTGTAAGTCTTGCCTTATTTCATTACCCTTAAAGGTAACTGTGCAGGTGTGGATCAACATACATTTAAAATAAAGTATTAATCTCTAACATTAACAAAAACATAGTGTTTACATTCTTTAGGTCCTGTTGGGAAAAAACTGTGATAAAATTGCAAAGCAGTGATTTCCTTATTATTTCTTTTAAATTGGTAATTATTTTACCAGTACTTAATTACTGTATGTCGTGAGACACTAAAATCAACAGGGGTATTTCATTTTGACTTTAATTTTTGAGATTATTGGCTGCACAATCACTTGTAGAAACTGTATAAAATCCTAATACTTTAATTTTTTTTCATGAAGATTGCTGGCTTTTGAATAGTTTATTTATATTGTATATGATAGTTTTCACTGTAGACAATTATGATGCTAATTTATTTTTCTTTGGTTTCATCTTTATATAAGATATAGCCAGAATGAAGAAGCCAAATATATGTGTTTACTGTAGCATGTCTTCAAGTTAGTGGAACATAGTTCAGGGACACACAAGGGTCTTTACAAATTAAAATAATTCACTTGATTAAATGTCTGTAAATCTTCATAATCATAAATGTAGTTTATTTAAATCTATTGTAAATTATGTGAGTTATATCTTTTTCTGTTTCATGTGAACTTGAAAAGGTGCATTTCTCTTACTTTTTTCCAACCATTCATACATTGTATACCAAAGACATCAGTTATTACATCTGTGTTAGTACAAAGTACACTATTTTAATCGCCTGTATTAATCAGCTCTAATATTCTGTCGATGCATAGGGTACAAACACAGCAAAGCCTCGTGTCTGCAACTCCTAGATGCCTGTCTTATATCACAGAACACACACGTACTGTCGTGTGGACCAAGAGCAAACCAAGCACAGCTCCCTTAGTCATCCCACACAGCAGACATGCAAGCATTATTTAAATAATAGCGTTCTCCCTCAAACAGACCAAATTCACAGAAAGTAAGATGCGGGTGGCAATTGACGGTGGCTGTGAAATACGTTTAACCATGTGTACAAGATAAGTGTGGTCATTCTTTCCTTTTTGGAAGAAAAACAAAGCATATGTCAAGTGTTTGCATTCTGTATTTTCTCTTTTTTTCCTGTTGAAATGCTACAGTGAATCTCACTGAATATTAAGAAAAAAGCTTAAAAAACGTTGCTAACTACTCACGGCACCATTATCTACGTACAGGACAAAAGAATTAAAATAAGGACACAGAAGAAAATAGCAATTTTTCATCCAGTTTAACGGAAACAATTTCAGATAAACTAACAAGTATTTGCCCACATCTGTGGTTCCAGGAATCCCACCAGATTGCCCAAAGTACATGAACAAAACAAAACAAAAAAAATCACCAATCCCGCCCCCCCATGTTAATTGTTAACTACTTTGCAACCAGACATTTACTTCTGACTGACTTACTGATTACAGGACATATTAGTAAAAGCAGACTAAAATTCAAAGGGTTTGGCTTTGGCTGGTTTATTATAGTTGTTCTGTGTTTGTAAACAGACAATCTGTAAAGTCTAACTATTTGTATTACAGATGTTCTGCAGCTGCCTTGGATTTAAATCCATGCAACTCTTAGAATGTGCAGTGAGTTACTTGTTGAAGTTGAAGTTCTCTTACTGTATCGGTGAAATACATATTGTCATGTCAGTTCTTGCCAGGAGTTTCTCATCGCCAATGGAAATTTTTTTTTTTCAGTATTTCAATAAATATTGATATGTCCATGCTGATTACTTTATAATTGTCTTTATAATAAAATCATTCCACTGAAATGAAGCACCAGTCAAAAATCAGTTACTCAGAAGAGGAGAGTAAAATGCAGGAGATATAAAAGCTCCAAAGAGAATTCGGTGCAGAGCAGAAGACACAAACGTGGAGAGCAGCACCTTCGAAAGCTCAGACAGCAATGGTGAAATTGCCTAGGCTGAAACAAAATAAATACAGCTAAACAGATCAGAAAAGCTGAATCTCTAATCAAAAAGGAATTTACCAATTAATGCTTTCAAATTAATACCTTTCATCTCATACTGCATGATTAATTTTTGCTTTACACGTTACCCACAAAGAGTTAAGCAGCCAAAGCATCAGAGAGGGTAAATGACAGAACAAAAGAAAATCAGGTAACAGGATCCAGCAGAGCTCAGGATAACCTCTCAGCAATGTAAATACGCGGCAGGGCCAGGGGCAAACCCACAGCTTCCAACACAACTGCCAGCGGAGGCTGCCAAGGAGGCAGATGTTACTGCTACCAGAGAAAAATATTTTCCTAAAGTCGCCCTCTGGCTCATCTGATTGCCATTTGGAGAGCAGGAGGTGAAGTGGTCCAAGAGAACTTGTCAGCAGTACCCTACTGTTCTGAGACCGAGTCCACCGCTTCCCCTCAACTGTCTGGTAGTTGAAAAGGGGCTGTTCTCCAAGGTGCCAAATGTGAGTGTTTCAAGGGGAAAAAACAGGACTATAATTAGTTATTTACAAAGCCTGTGCTTCAACAACACAAAGCTGGTTCAGCGTTGCAATAAAAACAGAGTAAAACAAATAGGATTAGGTGGCTTACAAGTGAGGAAGGATTATTTTAACTTTTAGGAATCATAACTGAAAACCATGATTTTGCATAAGACCCAGGGGAGATTTCAGGGTTGATATATTTTAGATAGTTCTCCTTACGAGAGATATATTTTGGGGTGATATATTTAGTACATACACTACACATTTAAATTATGAGGGGATTTATTTTTAACCGAGTTTGACACTGTTTCTGGAACAATCTGTTGTATGTTTTTATTGGAAACATGGAAAGACTGAGTTCAATGTAACACAGGTCAAGTCAGTACAATACTTAGTGATCTTGACAATTTCCTGGAATACTGAATAACACTTTTTATTAACCCCTAATTTGAAGCCCACAGTCTAGATATATCACAAAAATTCTAACAATATTTCTACCTTCTCCAATATAGTTGCCATTGTTTTCCAGGGAAATTCTACATAGGCACATCTGCTGGAATTTGAAACGGCAGACAGCATTGCACTACCAGCAAGCCAAGAAAATTATGGGTAAACTTTTAGGGGCATCAGATCCTAGAGCTATATAACCCTGTGATGCTGGCATGAGCCCACATACTTCTGTGCCAGTCCGGAAATTTCAGTTGCATGTAAGCCTGTAGAGAAAAGATTCGTTTTCTATGGGCAATTTGCCAACAATATGAAAAACCTTTGCTAAACGAAAAAGGCAGAAGGGGGCCTGACCCTCGGATGGAGCACAGACATACCCACCCTGATGTCAGTGCACCTAAGCTGAAGAGAGTAACACTAGAAGTTACTTGATAGATACAGTCTGGTCCAGCACAAATCAGTGGGACAAGACAAAGCTTCCCCTTCATCAAACATGCTTTCCAAACCTCTTATTTTTGCTCCTCTGCAGAACAAAGCCCTCTCCAATTTATTGACCGTCTTGAGGTCTGGCATGCAAGCTTGGACTAGCAATACTAGGTGAGTTTTAACCATTGCCCCAAGAAGGTCCTGACCCCTATTTCCTATTCACTGTAACTTCCTTTCATCCTAGAGTAACTACCAGGCTTATGGCAGTTTCTGCTATGTGTGTCCTGTGCACACCCAAGTGGATAATTCAGACGCAAGGTAAAGCAAGGCGGTGGAACACAGACTGCAGATGCTGTCTGTACTCATGGTGGCTCAGCTGTAGTGTCCTGCTCAGACCACTGCTGCCCCGCCTCGGTAACGACTACAGGTTTTAACATTAGTTAGTAATAAACACAGGCTGAAATAAACAGCAGAAAAGCCTGGTGTTGGAGTCACAATTTTGTCCATTAACGTCTGGCTCTTCCTATGCTTCAGGATCAGTAAATTCCCTATAAAAGGGTGAAATGACTCTCAGCCTGGGATGTAGGATGTTAGGGCACTTCCAATAGCACCAATTGTTTATCATACTGCTGCAAACCAAAACCTTCACAGAGCACGAGCCTCCCTGTGCGGCATTCACGTCAATCACCCTGCCACTGATGCTGCTGAACGTTTGCTGGATACTACCAATCCAGGCTGTCAGTTGCAATTACATAGTAAAACCAGGACTCTGCACCAGAGGGAATAAAGTGTGTTTGTGGGAAGGACCCCAAACACACCACTGTTTGAACAACAGAAA